ATTTTTTCTTATGTGAAAGTCCAGAAATAGAAATACGTTAAAAATTCGAAGCCGCCTTCTTAGGGTTTTCATGTTAAATTTGACATTTTTTGACAACTGAAGCTCGTATGTTATACTTTCGAAAGCTTGTACTTTGCAATTATCTGTGCCGGGACAACTCAGCATCGATTTTGCTAGAACACGCCGAATTTATTCTCACAACTTCTATCCATCGAAAAAAGTGCAGCAAATAATGATGGATAATGATTAAGTATTTTTTGAGAGCAAATTGTAAGCTACCTACTACAATAAATTTGCATCAAACGCTATAATTATATGGTTCTTAGAGCAGCAAATTACAAGAAAGGCAGAATTATGCCCACATTTGTTTCGCAGAAAGTAAAAAAGACTGAAAAAACTAAAAATTTGTTCAAAGATATTGAAATAGCCATACTATACAAAACCCACTTCGATACGCTGTATTTATCAGGCATAAGAGGAAGAAACCGAGGTGACAACATCTGCGAATTGACATCTTTAGAATGCCTAGACACTGCATCTACCAAACCATAGACGTTTTCGTCCACAGCTTTTTCTGGCATTAGGTCACGAAATCTGCGAAGGAGCAAAATTATAGAGCGACTAGAGCTGAGGAACCAGAAAAGATGAGAATGTGCAAGTCCACCTGTCCGTGAAGCTTTTTCTTCTTCTAAGAGGATTGTTTTTTCCAACAACCATATCAAGCATGCGATGTTTAAATTGAGTTTCTCTCTTCATCTCTAATACCTTTTCTTGAAGCTGAAAGGAGAGTATGGTCACATTCCCTTAACTGGACAGCAAGAATTTATTAGTGAGCGCATTAGTTATAAATATGCAAGTAATTGTTTTCATCCGAAAATGATCATCTGTTTCACGAAAAACGGAAAACTTTCCAATAAGATTTCCTCACAATCGATATTTAGGCTCCAATTTTGCAATAACTCTTGGAATTTTCCCAAAAATTTTTCAAGAGCTTTTGGCCACCTCATCCCCATTTGTAAAATTTTATCCCTCAAATCTCATTTACTGGGCTCACTCCAAAAACTTTTATGCGTGAAAATTTTGTTGAGATAAACTTTTGATTACACCATGTTCAGAAAAAGGTTTATGGATTTACACTACATATTTATCGAATCACCTGTTGCAACTTCGAAAAGGAGCTTTTCAATCGTAATTTTTCACCATTCGTTTCGTTCCTCGCACTTCTCCACAACGAACCCAGCAAGTCCGTTACCATCTCGAAAAATGTAATATGAGCTATGAAAACACAGTACGAACATGGTCTGTGCAAAAGCTTTACCTTTACTGGTGTTTTCTCTTCCACCACCAGTGACGGCAGCTTATCCATAACTATTGGTCTATAAGGAAAATCCATGCGATCAAGTCTCTTGGCCTCTTCGACAGTCTCTTCCTAAAACTGCCAAGTTGTTCCAAAACACTAATTTTTAAGAATTTATACACTTACAGTTTGATAGAGGGAGAGTACACCTCTCTTGACTCGTTGCCGCAGAATCTTAATCGGTTTTTGAACGGTCATTCTTCTCGCTTTTCGTGAAATCGTAGATTTGAAGGCACGACTGCCCTTTCGTTTATGCCAAGATGATTTTCGCACTTTTTTCTTTTTGCTTCTATAAAAATCAAGCTAAGCAAAATTCACATAGAAAAGTTTCAAATTAATCTCAAAACCACTTCTACTTGTTTCCTGTCTATTTGTACCTTTCATTTTAATATACTCGCATACACTTCCTCACATTGCGCCTATTTTATGGGCTATTAAGGTTGAGTCATAAAATAGTGATGGGTGCGACTGTTATGCATGGACATGAAACTTCGGAAGTCAAAGGTGACACTTATGACATTTTATGGGGACGTTCGGATGGAACATATAGTTCTTGCGCTTTCAGAACATGGCCTCTTTCACAACAATCCATTGAATTGATATGATCTATCATATTAGGTTGGAACATAAGTCTTGAACCAAAATTTCTAAAATTCCGTAGTTTCCTCCAGGTTCAGTGAATCTGTTCGAAATAAAATAAT